CAAAACCCATTTCCTCTATGTAGCTGGTTTCAGATGGCTGCTGCCCCCACCTGCTTCTCCTTTCACGGGCGAGCTCTGCCTTGCAGGCCCAGCTGTGACCTGTGTCTATCAGTCAATCTCTCCAGGCTCATTTTGTCATAAACACTGCCCAGTTGATCTCACTGGAAGATTCTGAAGATGTGAAGAGCTACATGGGCTGGTGAGGAGCCCACTTATCCAGGAAGCAGCTGAAGGATGTAATGTGCCTGTGTAGGCACAGGATGAATGCAGTGGACCACTGTCATAGAGCAACATGCCCAGAGGGTTTCAAAGATCACCTCTCAGGTCTTCAGCTTTGAGCTAAGAGCCCTCAGTGTTAGAGCAGTTATGTGACGTGCCCGATCCCTGACAGTGACAAATCAGAAACCAGGCATAAACCCGTGCACATTTCCAGTCCTGACCTGCCTGTAACTCACCGCACAAGTCCCTCCTCCTAGCTCATGTGTGTAGCACGTGATTCCTAGTGCGTTCCTCCCTGATCCAAAGCTGTTGGAGACTGTCTGGGGACTGCCAGCCAGGTAATTATCTCACCCTGCTTCCCGGTCTTCAGAAGCATCCTGGTGCCTCCCTCCTTCTCCTCCATCCATAGCGTTGCCCTCCACATGGCCCGAGATTGGTCGAACTGGGTCATCCTACCCTGTGCTCAGTGACATTTAAAGTCCACGAGAAAGGCAACTGTATGACTCATGGCTCTGTCCGAAGGACTTAGTCAGATGCCTGGTTCACAGTAGAAGCTCATTAGATGCTAGTGGAAGATGGAGGGGCATCCACTACAGCGCACACAACAACGACAACAACAATGAGCGCAACAGCCAAGCAGGGATAACAAGCACAGGAAACGATGGTCACATCCACGGATCGAGCCACGGTTCTATAGCCACACTTGCTGTCTCATCTCAACCTGCTGCAGCCTATCACGTCTGCCATCCTTGTCCCATGTGGCCGAGGGGAAGCCAGTGGCCCCTGGTGTTGCTGACTGCCTTGTCCATTGATCTATTTAGCAGACATTATTGACAGCCTGCCGCCTGTCAGGCTCTGTCTGTCTGTCAGGTCCCTCCTTCCCAGGAGCTGAGAGTCTAGTGCCTGGCAGTAGAAACTTGTCTAACAAATGAGGCAGAGTCAGAAAACAAAAAATAAGGCGGTATAGAGCAATCAGTGGTGGTGGGAGTTACCGTTTCAGAGAGGGGGGTGGACAAGCGATTGCTGAGGAGGTGACCGCGAAAGAGTCCCGGCAGTGACCAAGAAAAGGCCCTTAAAACTTGGGAGGGAGAATGTTTGAGCAGGGAAAACAGGAAATGCAAACGCCCTGGAGCAGGAGTGTTCTCTGTAGCCAGCAAACAAGAAGTTTGCCAGTGTGTGTGAGGGGGAAGAAGGTGAGAGCAGAGAGGTGTGGGTTTAGATCCTACTGAACGCTGGGGCACGGAGCAGAGTTAGGCCTTCCGCTGGCTCAGGGGGGCAGCACTAGACTGTTAAGGTCGTAGAGGAGCAGGATCAATTGTGATCTATTTTAAAAATAATACATATTATTGAACCTGACATATCCAGTCAACGTGCAATCGATTTTGAAATAACTCAGTTTGCATTCTTTTAGTGCCAGGCCTTCCAGTTTCAGGGCACTTTGTGATTACGCAGCATCTCCACTGGGCTCTCCATACCTGCTCTCGGCTCCTGTGCTGGTAGGTAGGTGTCAGTCTAATGCCCTCGCTGTACTTGCACCTCTTCTGGCCCCGAGGAGAGGATTGGCATGAGCCTGTGTCCTTGGGGAAAGTCGAGGTCATGGGAACTCTTCGCAGAGAAGGAAGACAGCTGGGCTGCTCACCCATGGACTGCAGAGCTCAGGACAGACATAGCCCTGAACCAGAAGCCTATGTGCTTCCGAGGGATGTTGCTGGTGAAGTGTGGTGAGCAGATGTCACCAGCAGGGATACCGGAGAGTCCAGGGAGAGGGGATGGAGGGGGAGACCAGGCCAGAGCTCATGGTGGGGACTTGGGATGTGAGAGAGAAAGGGAAGACTAAGGTCGCCCAAGGCTCCTGGCTGGGGACCTGGAGGAAGAGAAGGTGAGATGCTGGAGAGGAGCTCTTGAGGGTGAGGCCACGGTCCTTCCCCTCACAATGGGAAGCATGAGGTGCCTGCGAGCCAGCGAGAAGAGGTTCGAGTTGGTCAGCAGCTGGTCAAAAGCTATGCACATCCTCAGTCCCAGGAAACCCCTTGGGGGACAGGATTCTACCTCTCCAAGTTATCAGCACACAGATGGCATCAATGTGAGAGACTGTGACCCTGCCAGGAGTCTGTGGGATCCAGGCGGGAGTTGGGGAGCCGGAATGACTCGGAGGCAGGGAGCTGAGGCTGGGGTGAGGCCAAGAACCACTCTCATGGTCTGGTCTGTCTGACCTGTCTCAGAATTATTCTCTGGGGGACCATGTTCAGTTGAGCAGATGAGCTCTGAAGTCAGAAATAAGCGCTGCGACCCCACCCAGAACAAGACATACTGCCACACAGAAGTGAGGTCTCAGTCCTGCCACTCCTAAAGGCAGCAGAAAAATGTCTAAGCAAGAACACCCTAAAGTGTCACTGCCAGGACCCAGGGCCGCCCGGTCTGCAGTAGGATCTGGCCTGATAAGGAGCACCGCAGCTGGGTTTAAAAGGGGACAGGACCGGGGCTAGGGACCTGGCTCTACTCAGCTCTGCCATTGAGTGGTGTGAGCTTGAGCAAGGCTCTTCACACTTTGAGGACACCACCACATCCCCTCAAAACGAGCACTGTATCAAGATGACCAGATCCTTCCACACATCACATCAGACACTGACGCATTGGTTGAGACACCTGGGCTTGTGTTCTTTTTCTCTGCCTGCACCACAGGGTCTTAGAGGACAGGGATCACACTTCGTCTCACATAGAGGTCCCTGCAGGCACACGGCACGCATTTCTCAACTAAATGGGTCATGTAAGATGTGTCCTTGCTGTCCTGGGAAGGAAACCCTGTCCACCTCTGTGGCTTCCCTCCTGCCCACCCCACTCAGCTCTTCTCTTGGCATCGGACCTCCCTTTGTCCCTTTGCTCTGAGTGCCTACTGTGCGCAGTATTCCCTAGAGCAGTGATGGCAGACCTTTTAGAGCTTTTACTGATAATAAACAGCCTGCTGTGGCACGTGTGCCATAGGTTCACCGCCACTGCCCTAGAGCCACACAGGCTCTGGACACAACTGTCACTAAAGTTTGTGCCTGTTGATCCTGCTGGCTTAGAGTCGAAGAACCCAAGCATGTGGTCTAAAAATAAGCAAAAAATACTGGAACAGAACAGTTGGAAAATGCAGCCTGCAGAGCACAGCACCTGTAGAAAGCAGTAGCTGTCTCAGACGATGGAGACTCGTGTGCCAAACTCAGATTTGTGTGCAGGGGTCCTGCATGGGAGGGGCGGGGTGGAGAGGCTATCAGTTGGCAAAGGGAAGAGGTGGTGGTAGTCAGGGTCTGAACCAGGAAGCGGGGGAACCTGTACTTGGGTAGCCCCTTTGTTGGAGACAGATTTATAAGTGACAGACTCCATGCCACAGATGTGACCTGATTGCTGGCAGTTGGGGTAGGGGCAGAGATACTGACAAGCACACATTCACAGGCAGTGGAAGGAGGGTGCTGAAGGCCCTGGGGGCTTTGCGTCCTCCTCTCCCCCTGCCTCCAGCTCCTCTACCTGTCTCTCTGACCGGCCTGCAAGGACTGGGTTGAACCAATGAGGGCTCTCTCTTCCCTCTCACACCTGGCCCTGTGGTCCCAGTGTACCCCAACAGGCCTTGGTTCTTAGTTCCTTTATTCCAGCTTGAGGGTCTCTCATCTTTGCCCGGTCCTTTACCGATTTACTAAGCCTTTCCAAGTGAGCGTTTCTAATTCTTTGGGATTCTTGGCTTCCTATGTTGTAGATTTCCATGATGAATTCGATCTTTGTCGGCTTTGGTTCTGTTTCTTTCTAACTCATTGTCTAGCACACTTTCACTGCTTCAGAAGAGATGTGGGTTTCTCCTGAGCGACAGCTGTTCCTGGACCCTGGCTCATCACACAGGATCTTTCTGGAGTGTCCTGTTAGTTCATGCCTGCCACAGGACTACCCGAGGAAGGCTGCGGCCTTAACTCCCCTACCCCCTCTTTCCTCACCTGTTTCCTGGTTGGGTCTCAGCAGCTTGGCCCCAGGCCTCTCGAGTGCCCTTTCCTTCCCAGTACCCTAAAGTGTACAGTTTCACCTCCACGTCAGAGCCGTGGCTTCAGAAAAGATCCTGTCTTTCCACCATAATTTCTAAGACTGAAAAATAAAGAGAAATGTAATACACACTTCACAGGGACGGAGGGAGAGTCAAAACTAGTATAGTATAGAGCCCTGTAAAATTTATTGTCTTTTCCATGGAAGACATCATGATGATAAAGAACAACTGTTTCCTCCACACCCACACCCTCCTGTGACTGGTTTCCAGGAGGTAAACATGCCTTTAAAATGCCAAGCACAGTAATAACTGGCATTTCCTGAAAGCTCCTCCCAGGGGTGGGTGTTTGAAGCCAGTTATGTGTCATCTCGTGGAACCTCCATGAGAACACGGTAGAACCTGTTCTGACCCATTTCACAGATGAGGAAAACCAGGTGCAGAGAGAGATGGAGGATGTGGCCAGGCCCGGGTCAGAGCTGTGACCCTGGGAAGCTGCCCTCAGCCCACAGAGCTAATGCTTTAGCTACATGGTCTCATTCACTCACAATCCATGTGATGTGAAGTGAAAACAAAACAAGGTGACAACTGGCCATGAGGAATAATCATCAAACTGTGATATGAGGAAGACTCATTTGTATTCTTGAGGAAATGCTGTAAGTTAAGAACACTTAGGCATTGAGCTTCAAAATTCACACCTACCTGCAAGTGTTGCATGGTGCTGACCCTTAACCTGTCACATGGCTGAGTCCCTCAGGTCTAGCAGAGGACTCACCTGAGCTCAGTGCGTGTCCCACCTCCTGCATGATCAGGAATGGGGTGGTGGTCTCCGGCCCACAGATGCCCTTGCCAGGCTGAGCATCCTGGGCTGTGTTCTCCTTGGCCCCCGGATCCACCATGGCATGGGTGGCAGCTGTGTGGCTGAAGCTGGGCTCCTCTGCTGATGTGGTGGGAGCCCCTGGCGGCTGGATGCTGGGCAACTGGGAGTTTTCATCGGAAGGGACAGGGGCAGAAGGAGCTGGAAGTGGTACAGTTGACAGGACTGACAAGGATGAGGGGGATGAGGCTGCATCCTGCTGGGACAGGGGTGTGGGGGACTGCCACACTGTGGCTGGCACGCTGGCCCCAAGACCACCCAAGCTGTGTTCCTCAGGTGTGAGGGCTGAGGGGACACCACCAGCTGTTGAGGAGAGTCCAGGGGGCGAAAGGTCAGGGTCAGTGCCCTGCTGGCTGGGAGCTGGGCTGGTGATCGCCTCTTCTGTGGGCTCAGAGGTAATGTTCTTAGGGAGTGGTGTCGGTGTGGGCGCTGTGCTGACCGGGAGTTCCAAGGCATCCTGAGTGCTGCTGGCCGGGGGTGTTGTAGGAACAGCAGGGCTTGATGCAGAACTGGTCCCGAGAGCAGCCAGGGAGGTGGCTTTTGCCGGAAGAGAAACAGGTGAGGTTGGCCCGCTCTGCGCCCTCAGTCCTGTGAAGGAGCCACCACAGGGGGTTAGTAGGGGAACCCACGGAGTGGGCGATAGAAGCAGGTGACGCTTGGGCACTGCCTCACAGTATTGTCAGAGGGTGTTAGCATTTTGCACTGTGCCCTCCTCAGTTGTAAAGGTGATGTTTACAGCATGCTCTTCCCACCAACTCCTTTGCCTTTGCTTGGCAGGAGTCAGAACAATTCATGGACCACCAGCTCAATCCTGGCTCAGTGAACTCGACCTGTCTGTCTGTTTACACCAGTGTCCTGAGAGGTGAGACCCCTCTAGAGGGACCTGGCTCCCTGGACTTCGGGTGTCAGCTCCGTGGCACCTGCAGGGATGTGGAGGGGTGTATGGCTGGTGGCATATGCTGTGGTGACTAATACAGGGGCTATAATTTCAGGGGGCTGGAGTCCTACCCACCACCCACCAAGCCAGGGAGCTGAGAGGTTGGCCATTCCCTGTCCCCTCTGCTACATTGCTGGCAGCAGAGATGCATGTATATGTGAATGAATTTCCTACAGGCAGAAGAGGGAGGTGTCCCAGAAATAAAGTCAGGAGGAGGAACCCCAGGTTTAAAAATATTTTCTGAGATGAGAATCCAGTTCTCGGAAATTCTACGATGATTTTATTTTGTCATATTAGTTTTTATGATCATATTATTTTGCCAAAGATTCTCATTCACAGTTTGTAAGACTTAGGGCTGTTTTACTTCCCTCTCTCCCTTAATTTATCCATTAAGTTTCACTCATTCATTTGTTGTTTAATAAGTGGGTCTCTGAGCTGGTCCTCTGGAGACGTGGAACTCAGGAGCTTGCTTCTTGTGTAACACATCCCTGATTGTCTCTGTGCACTTCTTTTCTTTCCCCAACTAGCTTTTCCATCTCAGTGGGTGGGACCTTAATCCACCAAGATGCTTGTTAAAAACTGAGCTACCATACTGCATGCACCTGTTTCCCTCATGCCTCACATCAAATCCTCCAGAGTCACGAGGACACACCCTGACAATATAACCCCCCGACTCTCTGCATAACAGGGCCCACAGTCGCCTGCCTGGATGGTGGCAACCAATTTTCAGGTGGCCTTCTGGTTTCCAGGTTGCCTCTCTGTGTCAACTGTCACCGACAGAAGGGAGGTCTTCTCATGGCAGAGCAGTTCATGTTTTTTTGCTGCCCAGAGGACTCCTAGGGTGTCTTATACTTAGAAGAAACCCCAAATCTCCCCTGCAGCTCATCATCCTGATGGGTCTCTCCCCAGTCACCTTTTCTTCAGAGGAGCCTTCCTGGACAATCCTAATGAAAGTAATTATGCATCAGCTCTTTGTCCATTTTTTCAAAGACTAAAATAAAAAAAAAATTATTGTGGTAAAAATCTGTATAACCTAGCAGTTACCGTTTTCACCATTTCACACACATAATTCAGGGGATTTAGTATATTCGCATTGTGTAAACTATTACCACCGTGCATTTCCAAGACTTTTCTACCTTCCCCCACCCACTTACTCCATTGTTCTGCCAAGGGATAGATTCAAGGGCTGATGGAAAGTTGTGCTGCAGAGTATACCCTGAACTCAACACTGGGATTCTCGTGAAAACAACTGGTTTTATTTTATTGAAAAGAAGTTCACTAGGGGATAGAAATATAGCTCAGTGGTACAGCACTTGTCTTGTCTGGCATATATGAGGCCTTGGATTCAGTCCTTAACACTGAAAAAAGGTTTAAAAGGAACTGGTGAAGACCATGAACTACAGCAGAGTTCCTTTCCTTTCCTAGTAAACTTCCCCAGTTAGGGCACCTAATATTCCTGCTCTTGTGGTCTTTTCACAGCTGTCTTTTTGAAGTTTCAGGATGAAAATGATTGAGAAATCCTTGACATATGGACAAAACAACAGATGAATCAAATATTATTGAAACACTGGATCTTCATATGTGGCATTCCCAGTGACTGTGCTCAACAGTGCATGGCATTCCATTTGGGAGATAGAGGCAGAGAGTGCTTCAGTTTGGTAGCTGGGTTGGAAAATCTCTGAAAGTGTGAGCTAAATGAGGAATCACCAAAGAGCACCAGTTTGTTCATTTACGTATTGAGAGGCTTCTATGTTCATGAGGCCATGATTTTGCCTTCAGAGAGTTTACTTTCTAGAAGGACAGAAACAATGTCTAGTTTCCTCTAATTTGATGTGAAAGTGCTTTATGAAAGTAGTACCAAGTTGCAAGGGAAGGTCTGGAGGAAAAATTAAAAATTTTGCAAGGGAATCATAGAATGTAAAAGATACACAAATGTCATTTCCAAATGACATTTAGGAAAGTCACAGAAGAAATGGCATTTGAGTAGGTTTTGAAAAGAAAACAATGTACACGATGCTGCTTGAAATCGGTGTGCATTGTCATTTTCAGTGGAGATAAAAGCTCCTATGTGGAAGTTACTTTGAACTAAAAATGGATGCTCCAAGAGCTGGTGTTGAGGCTGGAGATGCCCACATCCTTGTTAATTCTTACTATCACTTTTATACTTCTCCCCTGCTCACTGCCAATGAGGACTAGAAATGATACTTCCCATGGCCACACACTGAGCAATCATTTAAAGCACTTTGCAGTCAAATTCAGCCAATCTCTACTCCTCACCAACCAACCGTGTGTGACACTGAGTGACCTTGCTGGTGAGCACCCCTTGCTCAGGCTTTATGAACCCTGACTTTGCCTCAATGATGCCTCCTTCCTGTGCCAATCTGCTTGAGGACAATTTCTTTAAGCAGGAGGATGGCCAAGGTCAAGGCACCATGCCCGCCCTAGAGAAAGTGGGCTGTCTCAGCCTATTGGGCTAATATAACTAAACCTGATAGACTGGGAGCTTGAATAGAAGTTTATTTCTCGTGGTGGTGGTGGCTGAAAAGTTCAATAAGATCTAGTCAGTTCTGCTGTGGGGAGGGCCCCCTTTGCCCTACCAGCTGTGTTCTTATGTGGCCTTTCCTTGGGGGATTTGGGCTGAGGGAGAGAGTGCAAGCTCTCTGCTCTCTCCGGTGAGGGCACTGATCCTTCCTGAGGTCTCACTCCAGTCACTTCCTCTGACCCTAACTGCCTCCTGAAGAAGTCTGCTTCTCTATGCCCACACTGGGGGGTCAAAGCTTTGGCATGAGAATCGCTAGGCCATTCTGAGGAAGTATGGCTTCTGTTCTCCCCTATGCAGAACTTGTCTTCTCATGTGAACACCAAACTGAGTCAATCTGACATGTAAGAAGAGTATATACTTTCCTCAGATTTCAAAAAGTATGTCAGGGCTAGAGAGGGCCTCAGTGGTGACTGAGTACAACCTCTTCCCTGTAAATGAGGGAACGGACACAGAGAGGGGAGATAATGTGACAGACCTCATACACTCAAGAACCATATCTTCTAGGAAGACCGTGTGTAGACCTTCCTCCAGCGGCCACCACGACAAAGCAAGAAGAAGGTGGAAGGGAAAAGTTGTGGGGCCACATACAGCATCCCACCCAGAGGGAGCCACACACTTCAGAAACAAGAATTTTCTTTAAATTTTTCCATAAGAAAATGGAAGCTAATGAAGTGAAGGATGAAACCAGTTCACCTCTCCCTCAGAGGTCAATGAGCATGGTTCAAAGCAGAGTGACACTGCCAGGGACCATGTGCCCTGCCTCACACCTGAGAGGGGCTGACTCCAGGAAAGAGGCCTGAGACTTAACCCACGTGGGAAGGGGAACCTGATCTGAATTCCTCTTTGAGAGCGGACAAATGGTGGCCCTTGTGTTAGTTTGATCCAAGGTGAATGTCCATGTGGCAGACACAGCTGACAGGTTGTTGCTCTGAAGAAAAGCAGATGTTTAGTTGGATAGAAATGACTTGTTTCCAAGTGTACTGTCCTTCACGGGACCCCAGAATCACTGTTTACATCTCTCTGATATTTGAAGAGCTTGTGTTTGGCTTGGGTCCCAGGCCCTTGCCTTGTTAAGAGGAGGGACTGGAGAATAAGGGCTGGGACAGGCAGACAAACCCTCCTATGCCTGGCCCTGGCCAGAGAAAGCACAGGTCAGCAGTGCTCTGAGGTCTGTCTCCTTTCTCTAAATAGTATGAGCAGTAACTAGAGCCAGCACCCGACTCCCCTGCCGCCTGCTTACCTGGGTTATTCACCTGTCCTGTTTTTAACCCTTGGCCTTGTCCTTCCCTGCCTTCTACTTTCAAGGACCTGAGAAATCATGTGACACAGCTTTGACAAGTTTGGTAAAACTCAATCAAATTGAACTGGGTCCTTTCCTACTGTCAGGCCAAGTGCAATTGCAGCCTGCAGTCTCTGGGTAGAGGCCCTGGGGCTGCACAGATCTGCTGCCCAGGTGGTTGTGGACAGGGACTTCATCCTGCACCCACCGCATGAACTCCTGAAAAGGCCACTGCATGCACACACACACATGCAAACACTCACCACACTTACAGATATACATGCCCACACGAACAGGCACACACACACAGGCACACACCACACATGGACAGACACATGCACACAAATACCACACACATGTACACACCCTTAGTGAGCATGTGAGAAGAGTGTAGACCCAGCACTCTACATGCACCACCTCCTCCAGTGTCACCTGACCTCAAGATATGGCCTCGTTACCTCTGTTCCAGGTAGGATTAGAGAGAGGCTCTGCAAGGCGAAGCCCCTTCCCCTCGGTCTCAGGGCAGTACACAGCCCAGTGGGGCTAGACCCTGGACTCTGTGGCTCCAGGCCTGACCTTTAGGTATCCACCCCATGTCATTGTGATGGGAAGCACTAGGACAGGTGAGGTCGGGCTCCTTGTTTGTAATACGGTCAGTCCTCGATTTTCCTGTTTCTAGTGTGAGCCTCTAGAGTGATCTAACTGGAGGGGTCCATCCTTCCCTCAGTACTCTCACAGGCTCCCTAATGTTTTGTGATAATCCTGAACTCTGGGGCATAGCACGTGACATCCTACAGTCCTCACCATCCTCTCCTGGGTGCTGTGACCTT